TGCCGGCACGGCATATTGTGCAGAATGTTGCCGAACATCCCACTGCAGGGACCCTTTCCACCGGATTGAACGTTGGACCGGCACCTTTTATGAGCCGAGCTGGCTGTGGAAAGTGGGTTTGGTTATTCGACTTGGTCACGAAGGTGATCGGTGCCCGAATGGAAGCAGCAACTTGAGTGCCGACCTTGACATTGACGAAGAGGAATGGTTTGACATGGAAGACCTTACCAGCACTTCGGCCGATCCAAAACCAACGGACCGTATTTACAATGGTGGCCGGGTCATGACCGTCGTCCATACTTCCGGTGTGCATCACCTACCTATCGTCTTCTGTGGATGTTCTGGTGCAGCAGCCGAGGACATACAGTTGTTCCGGGTTGGGTTGTACCCATCCACCTACAAGTCTTGCCAGACCGTATTTACCTTCCAACTCCTCGATGACTACCTGCTGGAAAACCTGGAATGTAAAACATCGGCCACCCACTACTACTCCAAATTGAGAAGGATCACCAACTTTGCATTTCCTAATTCCATTCCGGTATGTTGTTCAAGTACCTCGTATACTCCCATCTCAAAACGTTTGACAGAACCGGTATCACGAGTTAATAAGGGTTGGTAGACAATACCGTAATCTTACCGAACTGGCTACTTTTGGATTTGGACACAAAGGTAAGGCTCCGACGCCGGGGGAGATGGGTTTTTTTTGCCCTACCTGCCCACAACCGGGAGTCAACCTTCCTGATGACTGGAACAAAAACCCCAATGATCCTACTAACTGGAAGTATACCAGAGGATTTGTAGCCGATGGCAATTTCACAGCAGCCCACCAAAAACAGGCACGGCCCAAAGACGATGTTTGGCTTAAAAATGGGGATAGTTTCATGACGCAAAGAGGACCTTATTTGAGCCACCTTCGGGACGCGATTGAAGATAATGATGTAAGTTTTTATCCTTCGAGCGACTCGGCCGGTGTCTGAATCTTTCAGCCGAGGACATGTCATGAGCACAATGCTATCAACAACAAGAATGTATTTCACCGAGGTTTTGACGCTACTGGAATTGGAGCCATTGCTTGCCTTCGACATGGCACCTTTTGTCCGGGTTCGGTGGTAGATTTTCAAAAGGGAGAACGGTATGCAAGTTATCCTCGGGTTGAATCGTTGATTTACCAGACAGGCAAATGAACATGGACTATGCCTTGTGCCAGGCTCTGAAGAATACCATGACCGGTGAAGAAAAAAGGGTTATTTTTGTCTATGACATCAACTGCCAGTATATGGTGAATTTGATGGCTCGGATAAAACGTGGTGCGAAACACCTCTGGATCAGACCAGACTTGTTATTGGTAGCCGGGATCGGCTTATTCCATGTCCATGGCCATCAAGAAATATGCTTTCCACGATTTGCCCCAACATTCATCCCCGGGGCCGGTC